ACTTGAAACTTCACAGCAAAAACACTGTGAAGGTTTAAAAAAGTCGAACCTTCACAGCCTTTTGGTGTGAAGTTTCAAGTGTAAAAAGCTGGTCTCACGGGTCTCACGAAAACATGCTGGTCTCACGTGATCCCAAGTCTATATATATATATATATATATATATATATATATGGGTACGTTCAAATGAAAACAGTGCATTTCTAAAAAACCGTGTAAACTAATTTCGACCAATAGGAAAATTATATTTTTTTTCTAATTAAATTTAATCAATTAGAGTATTTCGGTCATTTACAATATTTTCAATTAAATATGGAAATTATTAATAAATCTTAATTAAGGAAACGTAATAAAAGAAATTTTATAAATGATAACATTTAAATATTTAATTATATTATAATTTTAAAAATTTGAACTAAATATATTGTGATGCGATTGAATCTGCTGGTGAATCTTGAAGATTGTAAGGTATAATGTAATGAATTATCAAATCATGATTGAAAAAAGAAATTAATACAAATGAAACAGGTTTTATGAAAGTGAAACTGGTTCATGTCATAATTGAACAATGAATAGTGAAACATTTTCATGGTGAACCCGTTTCATTGATGGTGTAGTTGATCCATTTAGTAGGTGAAGTGGAAAATGAAACTGGTGCGTAATGTATTTGGTTCGTCATGAAATAATTGCATGATAAAACTGGTACATGATGAATCTGTAACAGAATCTTGAATATTGTAATTTGCTTCAGAATCTTGAAGATTGTAAGGGTTAAAGGAATGATTTCATCAAATCACGGGTGAAATAAGAAAATTAATGTACATGAAATATGTTTCATGAAGGTGAAACTGGTTCATGGCGTAATTGAACCAAGAGTAGTGAAACGGTGCATAATGTATTTGGTTCGTCATGAAATAATTGCATGATGAAACGCGTACATGATGAATCTGCTCCATAATCTTGAAGATTGTAATTTGCTACAGAATCTTTAAGATTGTAAGGATTAAATGAATGAACTCATCAAATCAGGAGTGAAATAAACTAATCTATGTACATGAAACAAGTTTCATGAAGATGAAACTAGTTCATGGCGCAATTGAACAATGAGTAGTGAACTGGTTTGATGGTGAACCCCGTTTCAGTGATGGTGTAGTTGATCCATTTAGTAGGTGCAATGCAAAATGAAACGGGTGCATAATGTATGCGGTTTGTTATGAAATAATTACATGCTGAAATTGATTCATAATGAAACCGGTGCGTCTTGAAATAATTTTATAATGAATAGGGTGCATATTTACATGGGTGTGTGAAGGACATTAAAACAATTTCAAGATACGGAATAAAAAGGCTATTGCATTAGCGAAATTATTTCCTAACAAATAGAACTTTTTATTTTCCTAAAATAAAAAATAATGTTCTTCAATAGGATGTTACATAATATGTATTTTTGTTTACCATTTTGCCCTTATTGCTGATATAAAAATAAATTTTTAATATATATTTTTTTAATTTCCTAAAACAAAATAAACTAATCTTGACTATTGATCAAGAAAATGGATGTATGAGATTGGTTTACACGGTTTATACAAATGGAGGCGGTTTTCATTTGAATGCTCTTCTCTCTCTCTCTCTCTCTCTATATATATATATATACATATATACATATATATGGCCAGGTTCAAATGTTAACCAAAGTTTTTGTGTTAACTTTGTTAACTGATCTTGGCCATTTAATATTTCAATAAACGGTTGTGATTAATCTTGATAAAAACTTATTTTTTTAAATTTAAAATTTTATAAAGATAAGTGAACAAAGTAAAATAATAGTATTTAGGTAGTTTTTTTTTATATAACTCTCATATCAATAATTGAGAGTTACAAAATAAAAAAATCTTATGATTTTTATTAATTTATTTTTGTTAATGTAAGAACCATATGAACACAACTATATATATATATATATATAAACCATTGTGTCAAATACGAACAAAAAATTGACATGTATATGAACTTGGATTGCATAACATTTATGAACACAATATGAACAGAGTAAGAATAACTACTATACGAAAGAAAATAAATAAAAAAATAGGTATGAACACAATATGAACAGCTTGTGAACAATAGTTTATTCATTAAGAACACATTCAAGAGCGATCCTTTGTCAATTGGAGTTTTATATATGCATTGCATCCACACTATTTAAGGTTCACCCCTTTGTTCATATATGTTTCTGGTCTTATGTGGTTGTTCACCCCTTGTTCATATCGTGTTCACCCCTTGTTCATATCGTATAAAATATATGAACACATAACCCAGACGCTATGAACATTAGGTGCAAACACTTACACAAATATAAAGATTTGGTATCAAGCTTAAAAAATAACACTTGTGTTCATATGATAGAAGTAACATGAACACAATGGTTCATGATTAATAAAAGTCGGTAATATGACAATATGAAAATGAGTCGTGCATGTACTTCCATTTAAACATGTGAATTACGTATTAATAATAAAAGAAAAAAGTTATCAACGCAATATGAACTACAAAAAACACAACACACCATAATGAACATAATTTCGATTAAAACGAGTCTAATAAAATATTAATCCATTACCAAGACATTCACTTCGGTTAATTTCTTCACTTCCTGAACTCGAACTTCGATTGTCACCATAAACCATTTTAATCTTCTCAATGTTGTCGATTTCTTTTCCAATACGTTTATTCATAATAGCTTGAACGATACCGAATATTTTACTACCGTGTTTCCTTCACGAATCAAAAACTCATAAAACAATAAAAATGGAAGATCAAGATTAAAAAAAAAATATCAATATTATAAATGCATATTTTTAGGGATTTTATGATTTTATAACTTTCCATTAATGGTATGGGAGTTACATAGCAAATGAAATTACTCAATTACACTTGACATTAAATTGTGAACATGATAGAAACCTAATAGAAGAATGGATTGTGATT